TCTCCAATCAAGCAAGACCCAGTACACATTACATTCTATTTTTATACTTTTGAATACTATCTTATATTTTATAGGGATAATTTTTATTTTTATCATGTATCTTTTTTGGTTTTAAAAAGAGTTTGTATGAAGCTAGTGTAGTAGCATTAGTCCCAGTGGAGCATTAGGATAAATACTAAGATCTTATGTAGGCAAGGACTTGGAGAAACCACCTCATATCACATTGCTTAGGTTCTAATGCATATTTTTGTAGAGATTTAGGATTGGGTTGTTTTTGTCAATCCTTATCACTTTCTTAGTGCATTGCAGACCTAGTTACAATAGATCTTTTGTTATTATTTATTCTTTTATTGTATGTTATTTGTTGCATTGAGTGATTTTACTTCTTTCTTTCTTATTTATTCTTATCTTGAATATTCTTTATATAGTTATACTCTTAAGATTAATTATCTTCTTACAATATTAATAACTTATAAATAAATTTAAAATTAACCATAAGAAAATCATTTCTTCATAAAAAAAATATTTTGTTTATTGCATGATATGTGGCCTACCTTTTCAAATAAAATGAATATAAATTTTACTTTTGATTATGGATTTATTAGTCATGTATTGTAACTCCTATGCATTTTTATAAGGGAGAATTCATTAAACAATATTTATTTAAGGGCATTTCACAATAATAAAATAGCCTAAACCTAAAAGTATATTAAAAAAAAATTTCACATTAACGATGGATCACATTGTATCATTGCATGTCCCATGAAGTATAGTTGTTTCATTCACATCTAATTATCAACATGATTTATTTTCTCTTATTATTGACCTAGAAAAGTATATGATGTTAAGTGACTTTCTTGACATATATAGTATCATAAGACTAGTCTAAGCAGATTGACTCTTGTTGTCAACTTGTCTTTTTTCTCTTCTTTTGTTGGTATCCTCTCATGCTTTAATGAGGGTTAAGCTATATCCCAACAGGCCCACTCACTCGGTGTAGAAGAAAGTTTTACGAGTAAACTCCTAAAAAAGAACATGTAATGAAATGAGTTTGGGATGAAACCCGAAAGAATCATAGTTTTGCTAACCGAAAAGTCTAAAACCAATCTCCTTTCTTTCAAGTTGAAGATGGTAAACAACTATTGGATTTTTTCGGGGAGAACTATAATGGGATCTTTCTATTTTTTATTCGCTTCTCCTCTAGGCTAAACTTCCCTTTTGCCATGCTAGTTCTTTTCTCTTTCCAGGCAGATTCTGATGTTGAGTAGCTATTTTTATCGGATAATTTCATAGAATCTGAGTAAATATTTTTCCTTGGATTTGACTCTACATAGTTTCCTTGGACGATGCAGTTCATGATTGCTGATAAGGGGTTCCTGAGCAGGTTGGGTTGACTATCTTCATAGCTAAGTAGAAGTAAAGTTTGAAAAATTGCGATGATGAATTAATGAAATTTTGATTATGTGTACCAATTCTAGGCATTACTTGTCTATCTCTTGACTCAATTTGAGCCCACTCATATTTCTATGATACATCACCTTGGTGCCATTTTGAAGACCCTCATGTCTTAAAATGTAGTTGCCCATTACGATATGGTGACTCACTTGCTAAATTGTGGCTTGATTTAGCGTTGAAGTTGGAGTTTTTCCTGTTTGAAATGGTGACATTTTTCTTTGGCAAATCCTACTGAAAGATCTTGTAATACAAGCAAGATTTATCTAATCGAAATTGTTTTTAGGTATCCCCCAAGATGTAAGTAACTATTGGAATAATATTATTTTTGAAGTGTTTATGTGCTTTGAATGACATTAAATTTGATCTTTGATTATATATATAATTCCTTCATAGTTTTTTTTAATATGCTTGTTTACATAAAGCTGGTTTCATTCTTTTGGACTAATCGTTTTGTCAACTTGTCGCATCAAAATTATTCCATGTGAATCCTCTATACCATTTTCATTCATTCTTTTTTTTTGTCTTTCTTCTTCTATCAATTTTTTCTATTTTCATCCTCATCTTCACCCGCATCTACTTCTTTCCCATAAATGACGGGAGAGGATTGCAAGAAGTTTTGTATGAAGATGATGCGACAATTTTTAAAAAGTGGCTTCTTGGGAAGGCGTATTATAGAAGAAGGAATCACAAAAAGTGTGTGAATATGATGCTTGAACCTTTTAGTGGTTGACATGTACCTTTCTCTAATGAGCTCATTAATGAGTCTCTCCAAGGAGCTCACTAATGAGTCGCTCCCTTTTAAGATGTATATGTATTTACATGGCCTTATATCCCTACTCTACTTTTATGAACTCACAGGACATATTTGGGATGCCTAAAATATAATTTTTTCTTGAGATACACATACCTGTTGTGATCTTAGATCTCCATCAAATCTTATTTTACATGCACATTAGGAAATCAAATGAGCCACCATCATTATATGACATACTTCCTAGCTTAAATATTATTCTTAGACCTTCATTGCTATATTTGACTTGTTTGATTAAAATTATAGAATTAATTATGACTTTGACGGTTTATTCTTAAAGTCTCATTTAATTGATATGACCCATCATTTATTGTAAGGCACTATTATTTTCTTAGCACTTCATATATACAGTCTTTATTCATATGTGACATAAGTGCTAATAACTTTGTTAAATTAATTTTTCAAACATATTCACATTGGGAATATAAAAATAATGATTATATTTTAACTTTGCTCTTAATTCTTTGCTTATAAATCAATAAATATTATATGATGAGTAGGATCTTTGAATTTACTGCTTATATTTTGGTTTTTCATCACAATATTTTTTTTACTCATATTTTCATTACGTATGATATTTTCTAATCTAAAGGTTTATCAAGCATTTGGAATATGCAAGCTAATCCACTTGTAAGAGGTATAAGTACTTCTAAAGTTATTATCATTACCAGTTATATCAACTACTACATATATTGTAACGCTGAATGCATCAAAAGCTATAGATACTCCACCTGTCGAGACACATGGAGTATTGTCCTCACCACAATATTTTTAACCTTGTGGATCATAGTTCATTAAGCAGAGGAGTTTTGATGCAGGACAAGCAAAGAGGAGTCTCACAAGACCAATTTCAAAGGCTCATTATCATGGCAATTAATTATATTTTATTTTCCTAAAGAAATATGGGGCTAATCATGTGAGGTTTTGAGAGTAAATTTAAATATAAAAGGAAAATGTTTGCGAACATTAACACATCATTTTTCTCTGTTGTTTGGAATTCGCCTACATCTTCACCATCTTTCCAAGGCCTAAACCTATTCTCCCCTCACAGTTGTCGAACCATTTCCTTTAAATAAATCCTAATTCCAGCTATCCATATGTTGTGAACAGTCCACTTAAAAATTTATAACATTCTACCCACATTAAATTGACTGAAAATTACCTCCATTATTTAGCTAGCATCCCAAGTTTCTGATGTGGTTGTCCTTTATTCTATCAAAGAAAAGGTAGCCATCCACTGCAATTAGGGGTGTCAATATTGGACACGACCCGAAAACCTGACTCGAACCCGACCCGAAAATTTCGGGTTCGTGTTGACCCGAACCCGTACTGGGTCGGGTTTGGGTCTAGGAAATCGACCCGTTTGCAAAAATGGGTCGGGTTCGGGTTGACCCGAATGATGCCGGGTCATTTCCGGGTTCAACCCAAACCCGACCCGTGACCAGAAATTGACACCCCTAACTGCAATAAAGTCTCAGCTAAAAATTGTCAAAAAATTCTAAACTAGTCAATTTTTTTTTAGCCTTTTGCTAACACTAAAACTCCCACCATCACTCCAACAAGCCTTGAAACCTCTAATATCCCATCCTTAATACCTCATATAGTGTCACAGTTTCATCAAGTTGTTAGTCTTTCTAGGTTTTTTGTTGGCTGTTTCTTTTAAAAAAGTTGCATTGTGGCCTTCATGAAGAATTGTGCCAATGCTTGTTATTGCTAGTATTGCTTATTTATGGAGTACTTTGTTTGTATGTGCCTGATTTTTAAATTGACCCGTAGAAGGTGATGATATCAAGCATAATTACTTCTCCTTGGACATAGATCTGTACATTTTTTTTTATAAAATTATTAGTAGGACTTGTTTCTAGAAGTTCATGCATTTGCATTTGTAGTAATTTATCCACTTTAATGGCGATAATTCATTTCCCTGCCTTCCACTTGTTATTATATATAATAATATACCCTAAAAAATTCCGAGCTTTTGCTATTCAATGCCTCCATCAATGCAATACTTGTGATTTCTTTTATTCTGTATTCTTAATGGCTCTGGATTGTTCTTTTCTTTCTCAAAGTCAGGCAATCTATTAGACAATTTCTTTCAATCCATTTACAAAGTTTTCTGTAAAGTAAGTTCAGATATTGCTTCATATTGAGCCAGGCTACATCTGTTGTTCTTTCTTTTCTTGATGGCTAAGGACAGCCTGATGAAGTTGATGATTACCTAATGTAAAGCAAGTGTAATCTAACCTATTATCTGTTTCTCATCAACATGGTTATCTGGAATATGCTCCTCAATGTTAAGGCAAGTTTTAATATGTTTTAACGATAATACAATCATATAAGTCATACTATAGTCATGGTTCTTTATTTTCTTGATGGCTAAGGACAACCTGCTGAACTTGATGATTGCCTAGATAATTGCCTAATGTAAGCACGTTTAATCTTACTCACCATCTGCTGCTTATCAACTTGGTTAATTGGAATATGCTTTTCAATGTTCAGACAAGTTTTAATATGTTTCATGATAATGTTGGAAAGAAACATTTTTGTTTAGAAGATCATTTTCTGAAATTAGGATATATGAAAGAAAACTTTGTTATTTCAATGTACTTTTTTTGCCTGAATTTAATATATTGTGTTTTTGGTTGTTATTGTTATTTTATTATCTTAAAGTGTTATGATCTGCTTATGTGGATTATTAATATATTGTATGTTGCCTATCAATATAAAACAACAGATGGACTCTTGAAGCTTCTGGAATTTTGGAAGCTAGGAGGAGTGCTTTAGAAGATGATTTTGAGGAGGAAGAAGAGAAAGAAGATGAGGCACAAGCTATGGATGTTGATGTAAACACCCATGAAAAGGTTGTAGTTAACTCCTTTAATAAAAAAATCTCAATTTTTTTTGGTACGACTATTCTTAACTTCTTTACTCCCACTTTTTGGAAGGGTTATTATCATGGGCGAAGTCCAACAAGGGACAGAGATAGAGATAGAAAGCGCGATAATTATAAATATAGGTATGTCATACTTAAGTAAGCTTTTTTATTTTCCGTGTTCTCATTGGGCATTAAGTTCTCCCATTTATCTTTTAATTTTAAATATAAATTGGATGTTTTTGTTTACATAATTCATTTTTCTGGCATAGTTCTTTAGCCAAAAAAAAATTGCTTCATACTCTCTCACATGATAGAGAAAAAATGAAATCCACAAATTCATCAAATATTATGTTGAGATACTCATGAGGGTGAAATAGTTCTACATCAAAAGTGAAAATGTGTGAGTTATTAATTTATATATAGATTTTATGGACAATTAAAACCTAAAATCCCTTTCTAATTAAATTAATCAAATCAAAAACCAAGTAGCTCGAAAAATATGAAAACCTAGAGAGGCCTTGCATGCATCAAGTTCATAAATACTTAAATTATAATTTTCTCACATTCCTACAAAAATAAAAGTTTATAAATACTTAAATTATCAAAATTGGAGATCCTTAAGGCCCTGAGCTGGCCAAACCATTGGATCTTAAATGGTGGTGAGTCAACAATCCCCAAATAAATCTCTTTCATCACAAGACTTGGGCTTCTTTTGGTTACCGGTACCTTTTGTAAAAAGCAGTTTTAAAAATGTTGATCGGGAGAATGGAGGTTTCTAATGGAGAAGCAAATACCAAAAAGCTTTTGAAAATAGTATAAAATGAAGTTTTTGTAAAAAGCTTTTTTACAAAAGTGTCACATTCAAACAACAATCCAAAAATAATTTTATCCTTTTCAAAATAGAAAAGTAAAAATTAAACTCTCTCAAACGAGGCCTTGATCACTTCCTTTCTTGCACCAAAAAGACCAATTGAGCAGTTGTAGTGACATCTAGGAGAGAGTCTAGATTGCTAGTCTTAATTGAAAGTGCTATATCTCACAGGGAAGATAATTAATTATAGAAATATGTGCCCATAAGAAAATTTTGAATTAGGAAAATAAAGTTTACGGCAAATTTTTTGTGGAGTGTTTTATCACTATTTTAGGCTTCATTTGGAATTGCTTTCTTACTTTTTTGTTTTTCAAACCACAACCATAATTTCTATTTGGCCACTGTATTATTACTATTTTTAAAAAAATATTATAAAGCAATAAAAATGCTATTCCAAATGTAGCCTTAATCTACATTCTAAAAATATATGCCACTCTAGAAGGAATTAGGTTCGGACAATGCTTTTTAGTGCCCATGAAAGCGTACTCAAGATGCCTAGTGTTTTTGCCGGGTTGGATGGCAGCTTAAGATTTTAAAATGAATGGGAATATTGTATTCATGTTCTTTTAATTGGAGCACTACAAAGCTTAAATCCTAGCCCCCAAGGCAGGTGTGGTTTTTTGGTCACAAAAAATTCAACGCAGATGGGATGTGTTGAATGCGTTAGAGGGTTCTGTGTGTGCCACAAGCATGCAATTGAGCAGCAGATGCAGTTTGGCTAGTCAAGGGTGGCATCATGACTAAACTAAGTTGTTTCATGGATCCGCAAGAGAGTACTTGGGTTCTCCCAAGAGCAAAAAGCATATCATGCCCGAATCTAACCGGGGTTTGCGGTGGTGGAGGAATTGGATCGGAAAAAAGAGGGTTCTAGGTGGCAGATATCTAATGAAACTGTAGCTGAAATTGAGATCTCATTCAAAGAGAAAGATGATAAATATCTGGAGTTTTTTTTTAATCCTATACGAGCTCAATTTTGACGTGCTTTCTGCAAGTTGATTCAACGAGGTATTGAATGCAGAGGTGTGGTGTGAGCATTGTAGTTTTTTCTACACGGTTATGTTGTGCAACTCCAATGGGTCGTTGTATGGTTATGTCTAAATAGTGCATGTCTAGGTTGGCCTTCGTTAATGCTTGGTTGCTATGCCACAGTTGCAGTTCAGATGCACTTGTGATGTTATGGGTTAGATATGCATGGATGAAGTATGTGTAATTGATTTAAACCTATTTGAAGTCGGTAACCTAAAAAAAAATGAATTATGTATTTTGTTATTACCATCGCCATCATCATCATCACATCTGTTTGGGATCACTTTTATTCGTTTTTCTTTGTTTTTAATATTGTAGAAAGCTGCGTTTGAACAAAAAAGGCTGCAATGACTGACCCCTTACGATGCAAAATGTTGCCCACCTCTCAATCTTTGCCGTTACTGGTACATGGCTTAATATGCAATCTTGACTCACAGCAAGTTACTAATGAAGTTGTTTAACATAATTCGTAAGACATGAACACTTGTTGAGGTTGAAAATTTACCATAACGTTGATTATGGGGTGGAATAGAAAATAGCATTAGATGATATATAGTCTTAATACTGTGATAAAAGGAGTCAAAAGATTTTCATTATGATATAGTAATGTTCAGAGGCTTGGCATTAATGAAAATTGTGGAAGGATGATGTTCTGGGCATGGAGCAAGGTTGAATCCTATTTTTTTTGGTTTGAGTTTTAAGGTTGAACTTGACTGAGATTTGTCTTTCTAGTTCAATAACATATTTTAAATCTCGAATAGTCGAATGTTTTATTAGACGCTGAATTGTTTGATATGCAATGGAGAAATCTTTAAGTCTTTCCACTCACATGCTAAACCTATTTTAATTGTGAAGAAACGTCAATGATACAAATTTTGTTGCATTCTGTTTCAAATCTTCTAAGATTATCTGGTACAAAGTATCCAAAAGATATTTTAAATAACTTTAATTGATAAACTACTTACTGTTGTAGAAAGCATAACCTAGGAATACTATAATCAATAAGATCTTTTTTTCTCTACATCATCATCCATGTTCTCTCATGGACACTATAGATACCCATGATGATTTAGTAATGTTTGGGTGTTTTGTAGTTAATCAAAATTGCAGAAGGATGTAGGCTGATAGTAAGTTTAGTCAAAGAAATTTTATTTTATTTTGACATTAAATTTTTCTTGGGCTAAGGGTGTCAAAACATGTCTATGGGTCGGGTTTGGGTCGAATCCAGATTTACCCGGGTTTAAATGGGTTGACCCTAACCCGATCTGATTTTGCAAATGGGCCAGGTTGTCATCTTGGACTCGACCCCACACGGGTTATTGAGTTCACCTGACATGACCCGCTAACCCACTATTTTCGAATTCCGGTTTAATTTAAACGGTTGTGTGGCCAGGCCGAGGCAGTCTAGGTTGAATGCGGGTTATGGGCCTTGGGTAGGCAAGTTAGGCGAGGCGACAGGCTAGGGGCCTAGGGCTAGGCTGAAGGCGCATTAGGGCAAGGTGACGGGCGGCCAGGCCGGGGCGGTTGCGTGGTGCCTCGTGTAGTCTTGCAGGTGTATCAAATTGGGCCGCAGTAGGTGAGGGCTACGCGGCATGTCGCAGCAGGGCGGGTGCATAGATGTCAATGGAGTAAAAAAGAGTGCGCCATGGCGCACGGCGCAGCGCGGCGCACCTACGGCGCCATGTGAATGGCACGGCGCAAACGTTCAAAATGGCGTGCGCTATTTGTGCCACATGCGCGCCATGGCGCATGGCGCAAAATAACTCACGCCATTTGTTTTAAAATTTTCTTAATGTATTTATAAATATTTATAATATTTATTTTTTTTAATTTTTAAGATGATATATTTTTTAATTTTTAAATATATTAAAGGTATTAAGATAAATGTTAGATTTCATATCATTATCTTCTTAATGCTATTTGCTTTCATTTAAATATATTTTAGTTGTATGAAGATTGGCTACTTATTGGACTTGAAATTATGTTGGATTGTTATTTATTTGTATTGTCATTGTTTGCTTGTTATTATGATAGTTTGTTTTTCAATTTAATGATATTTCATATTCATGCTTATTATTTTATAATTCTTTTATAATTTGCGTCATGTTCAAAATGACGTGCGCCGCGCCGTGCGCTATGCGCCATGGCTCAAATAGGACCTTTGCGCCATGGTGCGCCATTCGCTATTAACAATTATGGGCGGGTGATGTGCGGACCCCAGATTGGGCGAGATGAGATCGCGGTGTTGTGGCGAGACGAGATCTTTTCGGCTTTGTTGGATTGGGTGAGACGGACCCTGTATTGGGTGTTTGCTAGCGGGCTAGGCCGGGCCGTTTGGGAAAGACAAGACCTGACTCACGTTCGGGTTGATTTCGGGTTGCCGGGTCTACCCGAACCCGACTCGATTCTAGAATCGGATGACATTTCTGAACCCGAACCCGAACCCGAACCTGACCTGCCTGACAAACGTGTTGACCCAAACTCGGAATTTTCTGGGTCGGGTTCAGGGTCGTGTCAAATATTGAAACCCCTAACTAGGGCCCACATTATGGCATAAAGGCTTGATGTTTTTATTGTTGTTGTATTGAACTTCACTAGGGAGTGTCAGAAATTTAATCTACATAAATTGCAAAAATATGATATTATTTTTGGAATGATAACCAACTTTAAACCTTTAATATTTTCTAAGATGGCCAATTGCTTGAACTTAAATTGGGAAATTTTCATATCATTCCATATACGTAATAAACCTATTTTAATTATAAGCAATAACATGTAATTGTGTAAAATAAGAGTCATAAGATTGAATGATGTGGGAGCAAGTTTTGTTCGATACTATTTTTCAAAATCTTTTTAATATAGATTATCATATGCAAAGTTTTCATAACCATATTTAAATAACTCATATTAATAACTACTTAATGTTATAGCATGTATAGCTTAGGGATAATATAATCTATGGCAATATCCATTACTTTTTCATCATTATGGAAATTCTCTTCTTCATTCCCATCTTTTCCTCCGCCTCTTTGAATTTGTTGTCTTCATGCTCAAAATTAATTTCTCAAGAATTTCAACCTAGGCAAGTATTTCATTGAGCTTTTTTTAGTGCATATACTTGTTTCTATAACTATTGATATTTGATAGTCTCCAAAAATCGCCTTTATCAATTATGAATCTTGAGGCATATTCAAGTTGGCAACTTACAAAATTAAATATGAGATCATCCAAACTCCAATTTCAACAAACTTATGGTCATATTGAACGTCTTAGTGAGAGTGAGACAAGCCTAACAACATAAAAATCGGTCCAACCCTAGCACAAATGGGCTCAAACCAAAGGATTAGTGCATATTTGGAAAATTTAAAGCATTAATTGGATGACAAAATGATATCCAAATATGGCATGCTTATAGTCGAATTTAGCGGCTCGACGGGACGAATCCAACGCGCCCAAGATTGCGTCATTCAGGCTTCATTAAGACATTTAAATGCTTGATGAATACTCTATGATCAAGGGAGTAAAAATGGGATGTCTGATTGAGCACTCCGAATTTACCCTGGATCTCCATATTTATTGGGCATGTCACTTTCAGAACATATAAATAGATCCCTTCTTCGCATATTAAAAATGGGGACTTATACTTTTGAAAACTTAGGCCCTGGGCTAGAGACTTAAGAGAGCTCTAAGGCTTGAAGCATTACAGAGCTCCACCCCAGCACCACAGTTGGCAAACCCTTGCCACCAAGTCATTGCTGTTGGACCTTTGCCTGACCATTGCCATCGGACTTCCGTCTCCTGCAATACCCCTGACTGCAGTCTCCTGCCGACTAAGGTCCCTTTGGCCCATCGCCCGCTGCAACTTTGCCTGCCGACTACAATCCCTTCGACCAACATTGCCTGTCGACTATGGTCCATCCGACAAATGTAACCAGCCGACTATGGTCCATCTGACCAACGTTGCCCTATGACCACCATCGCCTGACTAAGGCCCTACCAACTAAATGAACAAGCCAACATTTTATTAAGAATAACTCTCATCTTATTGAATTCTTTCAACTGCAATTATGTAATGTGCTATATATTTTTTACATTGAGTCAATGTTTTTTCCCGAGGAAGGGCATCAATAATCAACAACAAAAACTAATGGATTCATTTCAACTGAGCAAGATCTCGTGATTTTTTTCACTTTTCAGCATTTTCCACTTAAAAATTATGGTGTCTTTTATGACTCTTGCACATCTCTCTCTTTATTTATATTTGTGCTGGATCTTCGTTCAATACTAGGACACTAAACTCTTTATCTCTCTACCGACGTGAATATTCCAGGATGCAACAATACTCATTCCGGATAGCTCATGTCAATTTGTCATCATTATGAAATGATGCATCTCGTGTGTTTGAATTTTTGAAATATTAGCTTTTTATTTATTAGTGAATGCAAGATTTTCACCTCGCCACATGACAGCTTAAGGCATGGCATTGGCCTAGGCATTTTTTCAGTAATAGTGCTTGCCTAGGTGGTTTGTAAGGCAAATGGCCTTGTTAGGTGCCCATTTGTCTGCTTGACTCCACTTTAACAACACGGACCAATATAAAGGCTGATTGCATATGGCCTAGGAAGGTTTAATTTTGTCAATCAAAGTTTTGCTATCAGTTAAGTGTGCATGACTAAATGCAAGCTTTGAAATTTTTGTGGACCCTAAAGTCCTTAATACTGGAAATCTTCTTGACCACATGAGTCTTTACTAGATTAAAAGTTAATATTGTCTTTAAAAAGTTAAGCTGTGATGTTTTGTTCCTTATTTCTTGATCACTTCTTTTTGTTTGATGAGCCTATGGTTGTTGGTTATTGCCTTATGATGTCATTGGAGGTATTGGTTCTTGGTTCTTCTTTGCCTTCTCAAGGGTTGATTTTTTTTTTTTTTTTTATTTCAAAATTTTGTCCAGCTGTTGCTTATTTTGATTGTCCTTTTGAAAGCAGTGATTGTTGTGCTTCATTAATCTGCGAGGTCAATTATTACCGTGACATAAATTTTGCATGGCGGATTTCAAGCACGGCATCATCTCTATCAATTTTGATGCGTATGTAGACGGTGATTTTTCTTATCATTTTGTAGTAGAGCAATATTATTGAGTTTAGTCTCCTTTTCCCGAAGAAACAACTTTATCTATTGTGAGAGGCATACCTAACGCTAATCCAAGCATTGTAGCTTCTTCATCTTTTAGGATCATCACACTAGAAGCCTTATTCCAATTATTTAGTGTTCATTTATGAATTCTCCTACATTCATTTGTACAATCGTACTGAACATTAATCTATTGCTTTCAATGTGTAAGGATTGCGTAATATATTTTCCAATATAAGGACGACGTAATACATACTTGTAGTTCTATTGAACTCAACAGATTGTATTTATTAAATATCCTTGTAATCGATGGGAGAAGTAATGAAGCTATCGCGTCGTTACCTTTATCTTTGCATTTGGAGTACTTGCCTTCAAATCCTTTCTTTTAATGACGTACATGTTCACTATAGTTTCTCTTCTTGACAGGGAACGGGACTATGATAGGGACAGGGATTATGATCGGGACTATGGCAGAGGGCGTGAAAGAGACCGAGATAGGGAAAGAGACCGCCATCGTCTTAGAGATGAAAAGGGCTTTGGTCGAGAGAGGGATCGCGAAAGAGAGAGGGATGGCAGAGAACGTGATAGGAGAGAACGTGATCGTGGGAAACGAAGGAGTCGGTCGAGGAGCAGGAGTAGGGATCGCCGAGAGCGAGACCGTGAGGATGGGGAGCACCGCAGGAGGCGCGCTCGTGGCAGCAGCATCAGTCCTCGTAGACAGCCTGCAGATGATGGTAATTTTCAGGATGAATCCAAGAAGAAGAAGAAGAAGGAAAAAGATAAAAAGAGTGATGGCACTGATCACCCGGACCCAGAGATTGCAGAAGCCAATAGGCTTCGGGCTTCTCTTGGTCTGGCACCATTGAAGCTCTAAACCTTTTTTTTTCTGTCTTACGGTTCAGAGTGACAATTCGCTCTCTAAATTGTTGAAAAGCCCTTCCGTTTTACACGTTTCAGCGTTATTACATCTCTTGTTTATTTTGCTCACATTTTTGAGTTTTCATTTAGAAGGCTGATTTTAGGTATCCGCCCGGAATTTATGTATACTAAATTATGATTTCAGGTTTGTAACACGCAGTTTCACTTTTGTTTTTGATAACTTGTCTTGCTATGGAACGTCCGGTGTAAGGATGCAGAGGAACATCCGGTTGTAAGCAAAATCCCGCCTATACCGAGGTGTACGACACCTCGGTATAGGCGGGATTTTGCCTCCAACTCGTTTTGCCTACAACTGGATGTTCCTCTGCATCCGGTCGGAGGACGTAATAATTGTTCCTTGCTATGAGCGTAATATATCTTTTTAAATTAGCGTATTATCATAAGTTTTACTGCATGGATAAAGTTGACATTGCTGGGATTTTTAAAATTAACTAGGAGATGATATAAGCACATTTATTTGCTGCATGCTGTCAGGATTTTCAAATTTCTTGAGAATATGTTAATAATGTAAAATTATTGAGTATTTAATATTTACATTTATAATATACCATTATTTCGCATATGAATTTCCATTACTAATAAATATTGAGTAGAAATTTTAATAATAGCAAGATTTGAAAATTTTTTTAGTGACATGCTTGATGCTTCACAAAAAATTGTATTGATTAGGCATGAATCTTGAAGCATATTAACAACTTTCAATACTAAATTTGGAACCATTTGAACTCCAATTTCATTAATTTTATAGTCAAATTGAATGTCTTATTGAGATGAATTCAATGACATCAAAATTTATCCAATTCGAGCTCAAATTAAGGGCTTAAAGCATATTTTAATGTTCTAAAGAATTAATTGGATTACCAAATGATATTCAATCATGGCATGCTTATAGTTGAATCGAGCGGCTTGACGAGACTAATCATGTTGAAATTATCTACCTCATACCATATTCTAGAGATTTTGATGATTACAAATACATGCATGGATGTTCTAAATTCTGTGCTAAGTATTTTATGTGTAATGATTTGATGGATGTGCATGATAATTAATTGTGGGATTTATATTGCACAACTCAAGTTCAATCAAAATTTAAGCTAAAAGAACCATGATTGACCAAGATGGACAGCTTAAAGATTTTTATATTAACGTAGGAGTATATTAGAAGTCCATTAATATTTACTTGCATGATTTGATTTTGCTCATAATTTAAATATCTATTAAAATGATTTACATACTATTAATTAGGGATAATAAGCTTAATTTAGAAATATATAAGATTCCTTTATTAAATAAAATTTCTAAGCTTTATTGTTATAAATTATGGAAATGTAATTAATCAGGGAAATTATTACGTATTCATTTTGAAGTAAAATTGTTTCATATAAATTTACTAATGCATAATTTTTTTTTTTTCTAAATTACATAATATAATTGTATGAATATTGAATATATCTTTAAATCTATAAAAATATGCATAAGTTCTTATTTTGCTGAATAAAATATTATTTTGATAGAAACATGGCTAATTTTTATTTCATTATTCCTTTGATTCGGTACATAAAAATTGATAGTTACATGACCTATTTGGAGTTATGTTGAATTTATAATGAATTTGTCAACATTATTCAATTTTAATATTATTTGATGGGTAGCCATTTTTACCTTATTTTGAATGTTTTTGAGGACTTTTTAACTTATCCATGTGACTAGTATATTAAAAATATTTATTATTTGGTGAAATACTAGTTGAGAATGTTATATTAAGTTTTCAATGTTAATTCTTTGAAATCCATAAAGATAATAAAGACGAGTATTTTTATTTTCTTTTATATGGCATAGATTTGCATTTCAATTCTAATTCATTTTTAAAAGTATTATATAATTTGAAGAGTTATAAGTTTAAATTAGCAAGAAAAATATTTTCATATAAAATATTATTTGTATTTTTATAAAAATATAAATCTATATTAAATTGAGCAAATTTAATATTCCATTTGCAAGTAGTGAGATGATTAAAATTAAATTATAAGATCACATCAAATTTTTTGGCCATTTTATTGCAAGATAATTTAATCTTGTATTATTTACATCAAATTATGATTTTTATTTTCATAATCTAAGTCATTTGGTTTAGTGAAGTTTAAATTGTAATTAAATTGGGTTGTACTTAGCCGTGTAAGAGAGTACTTAGGTTGTAAAGAATTTTTTTAATTTCAAGAAGTCAAGTTTGCAAGGCAAACATGGGATTAGTGGATTTCAGCCTGAGAGTTGGCTAGCATCGATGTAGGTTGGATTGGAATCCGGGCCAAACCATGTATAAATATTGTGCCTCTAATTTTCATTTATTGTATCAAATTTTCTTTATGAGTTTCATAAAAATTATGTGATTACTTATTCTTTTCAAAATATCTTTAAAATTATTTTAATTGCATTCTTTTAACAAAATTTTTGAAAACCCTAATTCACCCCCCTCTTGGGGTGCCATGGTCATCCAACAATTGGTATCTGAGCCTTAGCTCTTTTTATTTTGGCATAACATCCTAGAGTAGATCCACCTTATAAACTATGACACAATATTTTCCTATGGGTTCACTTCCTAAAGGACAATCTACTCATCATCCACCATTATTAGATAATGTTCCTTTTGATTATTGGAAAATATAATTAGTAAATTCTTAAGAGGGCAAGACTTTTGTATGTTGCACATGTTTACGCACCAATATCATACACCCACTAAAAAAATTAATGGAATTCAATTTAAAAAACCTTTTGATGAATGGACTACATTATGGAGGAAATTAGATAAGTTAATTTCTAGGGCATGTAATACTTTGCATTGTGTAGTTGGTTGACCAAGTCAACCCTAGGCTGACCAAAACATACCTATGTAGTAGAAGAAAGGAGAAAGTAAAGTAAAGATCAAGAAGAGTCTTCCTCCAAAAAGGATTAAATCTCGGAATACTTGATTAATATGTAAGTAAAATTCATAGAAGAGATGATGAATTATCTCAAAGAAAGTAGTCATATAATAGATGAATAAGAATATGATGAGATAGTAAAGTTAAATAGTCTTGATAAAGAGATGACCAACAGTGTATTTATGGTAGATACACGATCATCAATCTAGAAAGATAGAAAGAAAATAAAAATAAATCCAATAAATGTTGGAAATGAGGAGGAAGAAGAAGTAGATGAAGAATCTGTCCCTAATATGACTAGCAATCTTTTAGATTAACTAAGTTAGAAAGATGAACAAATAATTCAGATGGAATAAAAATTGAAAGAGTTAATGGCTTTAATGGTTGCTCTACGAAATAAAGATGTCTCTTCTACAAAAGATCAAATAGATTGAATTCTAAAGAGAGTTTGTACAACACTGTAACAAACTCAAAGAGGTTGTAAAAGAAAATAAAATTGAGGTTATGAACTATGACAAAGAAACAGTGCAAATAATAAACATCAAACATTTGATAGATTAATAAGTCAAGGAGGCTCTAGCAAAGTTTAAGAGTACCTCATCTCTTCTAAGGGGTAGGCCCTACCTAGAAGAATATAACTTAATTCCTTATCCTAAAGGGGTCGTGCCACCCTCATTTAAAAACTTCTATGAAATTGTGAATCCTAAGCAATAATTAGCACATTCAATGGCTAATTGTTATATTGCAGGAGGAAGAGATGCTTTATAATTCTAACAATTTGTAAGATCGAGCATTACATTTGAAAGGTATGTCAAAATACCTAAAAGATCAGTGCAAAATAGATGTTAACTAAATGATTTGCTTGAGCACATCACCATGTCATAGTAGGGGATCCAGTGATAAAAAATAAAAAACTTAATGAAAGTCTTGTTCACTATCTCTTAAGATGGAGGAATATCAGTGCGAAATATGAACCTCAACTTCAGGAATAACATGCTATACAAATTCTTTTTAAGAATATACATAGTTCGACTACTTTCTTACTGAAGAGCTCACAATCAAAAATTTTAAGAAGTTATTATGTAAAGCCACTAATCTCTAAGAGGAAATGTCACAGTTAACTTTCTTAAAAGAAAAATCTTATATAGAAATAAAAAAAATAAAATCTCAAAAAGTGTTAAAAAAGAAGTATGGCTCAACGTCTACACAAAGGGAAACAACCAATGTAAATTCAAGCAAAAAATTGAAGTCATCCTTCACAGTATCAATAATATGATAGATCTCCCAATCCATAATTTAAACCTCATTCCAATCTCACTCTTGCAGAGGAGAGAGAGAGAGAGAGAGAGAGAGAGAGAGAGAGAGAGAGAGAGAGAGAGGTTTAAATAAAAAGAGATATTAATTTATAAGAAAGGCTATTAAGAGAATATTTAAGAATCTTTTAAGGAAATCATATTTCAAACTTTTAGATCCTAAGAAGCCGGAAGATGTATATAAGACGGGGCAACCCATATATTGCATATATCACCAAAAGATTGTTAAGATAGTTGCTATTTGCATGCTTTACATTTTTGCAACTTATGTAGTTTTGATGATTCCAAAGATTATAGTTCAAATATGTAGTTATCTCCTAAAATTTTTTAGAAGAATCGTATTTGCTCTTGTGTGTACTAACATTTCAGGAAAAACAAACTCCAGACTATGAAGACTTTAAATTAAATTCAGCATGAGATACATTGTAAAATTTGAAGCTTGCACTTTTCTTTAAAATCAAATTGAAAGGGAGTGATTGTAATTTGAGTGAATAAAAATATACACACACACATAAGGAGATCATATAAAATGTTTATAATGATCGTACTGGATGATATTCGTTCGTACAGGACGATCAGACAGTTATCTCCTATAGAGCATATGGAACGAATAGGAACTTGCTCGAAAAATTTTTCTAAGTCCTATTCAACCAGGACGAAATTAATTATCGTCCAGGACGATTGGTTCACTATAAAATTTTCGTCCAGACGAATTTAAATTATCGTCCGTGGCGACTGGTCCTCTG